AGAACAATTACGGAGTCTATAGAGTGTGATCCACGCCACCCAAAAACTTCCTCCCTGCAGAAAGAGTAACCAGAAAAGCCTCGCAACAGATGCAACATTCAAAGTGATCAAATCCTTCAGGCCAAGTCCACCCTCTCGTTTAGGAGAAGCAATGATATTCCAGGCTACCTTTGCTCTACCCGTACCATCACCAAACCACAGAAAATCTGAACAAATCTTTTGAATTCGTTTAATCAACTTCTTAGGTAAACTAAAGATAGTCATCCAATAGTTCACTAAAGAAAACAGCACAGAGGAGACTAATTCTAACTTTCCAGCATACGAGAGCTTATTAGCTCGCCAAGTTCTTATTCTCTTTGTAATTTTATCCACCAGCAATTCACATTCACTACTAGATAGTTTACCTGGTAGAAGAGGAAGTCCCAAATAACGTACTGGAAGCTTACCTTCCTTGAAACCAGTCAAACTCGGGGCAATCTCCTTAAACTTCTCAGGAACTCCCCCAAAGAGAACCTCACACTTTGCTGGATTACACTTGAGACCCGAGATACTATAAAACTTGTCCAACGCCCTTTTCACTCCACTTAAAGCTTGACGAGACCCCTCAGTAAAGATTAACAAATCGTTAGCAAAGCATAAATGAGAGAGTCCAATTGAAGCACATTGAGGATGGAAAGGAAACTATTTTAATTCCACTACCTTGTTGAGCATTGAAGTGATCACTTCCATAGCCAAAGTGAATAAGTAAGGGGACAAGGGGTCCCCCTGCCTCACACATTTTTCTGCCTTGAAATAGCTCAACAGGCTCCCATGAATCATAATGCTAAAATGAGCAGTTTTGAGACATTCACTGATCCAGTCGATAAACATCCTTGGAAATCCCATAAGATGCATAACTGTAAATAAAAATTTCCAACTAACTGAGTCGAATGCCTTCATAAGATTGATTTTCACAGTACTTCTCGAGGTTATGCCTTTCCTATGGTAGTTGTGTACTAGTTCTTGAGCCATTAATATGTTTTCCAGAATACTCCTTCCTTGAATAAATGCATATTGATCTCGACTAATTAGCTTAGGAAGAACTACCTTAGCCTATTAGCCAGAATCTTAGCAATGATTTTGTAGGTCACATTGATACAAGCTATAGGTCTATAGGAAGTCAAAGGGACATCATTGGGAATTTTTGGGACCAGAGTAAGTGATGCTGAATTCATACCTCTAGAAAGCTATTTTGTGATAAAGATATCCTGAATCCCCTCTGTGACCTCCTTGCCAACTTCATACCAACATTTCTGGAAAAAACCCACTATCCAGCCGTCTAGACCAGGAGCTTTTTGAGGGTTCATTTCAAAAAGGGCATCATGAACTTCCTTACCTGAAATTGTTTGAATCAATAAATTGCAGTCAGACTCAATCAGATGACCAGTTAAGCAAGATTTAATAAAGTCTTCATCTGGACGAATATCCAAGTTTGAAGATCCCGGGAGCTTAGTATAGAATTTAATAGCCTCCTCAGATATTTCCTCAACTTTAGAAAGCTCCTGCTCATCTTCCAAAATCAGCTTCCTTATTTGTTTCCTGCTGTCCTGAGCTTAGCCATCTTGTGAAAAAAGGAACTGTTAGAATCCCCTAGAGTTAACCAGCTGATTCTTGACTTTTGCTTGTAGAAGCTTTCCTCAGCCTTCCTAAGAGTTTGATAACTCTGAATTGCTTCCTTGAGCAGCTCAAACAGCTGAGGAGTGGGATCTGCAAGCGCTGCAAGCTGTGCTTGCTTCATAATTACTTTAGCTTCCTGAGTCCTCACAGTAATATCAGCAAATGACTCCTTATTAAGATTTTTTAGTTCTATTTTCAATAAGTTCAATCGTTGTCTAACCCCAAGTAACCCAGCATAATACACTTTCCTTCGCGACACATTTCTGATAATGGGAAAGAACTGGGGATGATCAATCCACATATCAAAGAAACGAAAAGGCTTTGGGAATGACTTTGCTGGCACCCTAGGAAGAGCCAACACCCCACAATGGTCAGAAAATCTAGGGCAAGAAATTCCACAACACACTACGGGGAAACATAAATCCAATCAACATTAACCAGACAGCGGTCTAGCTTTTTTGCAATGGGGTTCCCCTGCTGCTGGTTAGACCAAGTAAAGAGGGAGCCAGTTGCTTTATGATCCACTAATTCCATTTCTTCCACCCAAACTCTGAACTGACTCATGCTGTTAGAGATAACAACAATATTAGAAGACTCTGAAGGATCAAGAATAACATTAAAATTTCCACCAACTGCCCATGGAAAGTTAGAAACCATCCATTTACTCATCATATTATAAGTGTCAGCTCTAATCTTCTCATCATTTGATGCATAGACCGTAGTAAAAAAGAAATATTCCTTCTGGCTAATTAAAATCATTGTATGTATGAAATTCTCCTCCACTACTAAAACCGATACCTTTATAACATCACACCAAGCCAGCCAAATCAGGCCTAGTTTATTCTTAACATAATTGTCTTCAAAGGTAAAACCATTTAATTTTTTGTGCATTTTTTTGTTGTACTCTTGTTTCAATCAAAGCTAAAACTTGAATTTTATGACAACGAACATACCTCAGCACAACATCCTGCTTCAAGGGGTCATTGAAACCCCTTGTATTCCATATGAGAATAGTCATTTTCGTTTAGGAACTGCCTTCGCAGCTCTTGTTTTACTCCTTAGACCTTCACGACACCCTTATGAGGAGGATCTTGAAGCCTCACAACTCAACTGGATGAGCACAGAGCAGCAAATGCATTCGACTGCAAGACCACATATGCTACAACAGGGATTTTCTTGTGACTACGTACACCATCAACTGGATTTTATTGAACTCTTCCTGAGAAGGGGGCGCATTTCCAGTGACTGGTGGAGTAGTGTCAATCATCACAGCCTTTCCGATGTCCTTTGGGCACTCTTGGACTCGCTCCACACTAGCTTGATTAACTAGCCCAATCTCAACAGTCTTCAGTACCTTCTTTTGCCACACCTTTTTCGTCTGAGAATCAGGAGGAAGTGCACAATGGTGTCCAACCACCCCTCCCCCCCCCCCCCCCCCACCACACACACACAAGATTCACAGACTGCTGGCAAGCCGCAATACTCCGCCCTGATAAAAATAGGACGTAAACCATCTAGAGTCCACTTAAAAAAAATAAATGATCAAATCTGATTAGGGATGGCAACAAAACCCGAACTTACGGGCAAAGCAGTTAAAATCGAGATTTTACGTAAAATCGAAAATGGGGGTAAAATCAAAATCGTAAAATCGTAGGATTTTAAGGTCCATATAAAAATGAAGATGGAATACTATTAGTAAGGAAAATCATGAATAACACAAAAGCGCATAACACTTACAATGATAATTTCAAGGTTAATGTTCCAAGTTATCAAGGTTACTGTAAAGAGGTGGTGAATCGATGATGATTAATACGTTGATGTGAATTGATTATAGTCGATGGTGGTTAGTGTGAGAGAACTAGATGATGTTGGCGGAGGAGAAGAAAAAGAGGCGTAATTTTGCAAATTCTAAGGAAAATGAGTGAAATTGACTCAAAGATTTGAATCGTAAAATTTAAAGATTTTAAAGATTTAAATCGTAAATAGTGTAGGATTTTAGTGTCCATAGATTTTATAGTGAAATTAGAATCGGAATAGGTAAGTAAAATCGTAAAAGCGTAGGATTTTAGGATTTAAATCAGGATTTTGACTACTCTGCTCATGGGTACCCTACCCGACCTAATCCGGTCAACGCGGGTAAAACCTATGTTGACGGGTTTCGGGCCGGGTTTGGGTTTAAGCCGGTACACATTTCACCTGGTTGGATTGGGTTTGGATTTAGGGATACCCGCCCACACTTATTCCATCGCCCCTACTCTCCCCAAACCCTACCCTAATTCTAATTTCCGCCAATCTAACTCTCACGACTCACTTGTCGCCTCCCTACTCTCCCCAAACAAATGAACGAAAAACAAAAAATTATGTGCTTTTATTTAATGTAATTGTGATTTGTTTGAATTTTTTATACTGGTGTTTTATGTAAGGATAATTTTTATGGGAAAAATTAATGTTTGAATGTTATTTTGATAGAAACTTGTTATTATAAATTTTTTACTGCAAAAAAAAAGTACCCATGAACCCTTGTATACCCAGCAGGTTGGGTTGAGTTTGAATTTTCCAAAACCATTTACTCCAAATTTTTTTGCTGATAAATCTATGGATTTGATTTTGAATTTGACAAAACCCAACCCATTGTCATCCCTAAATCTGATTGTAAGACTAACTTCAACCCGTAAAGTTAAATTTGGCTCCCCAAATAGCCAAATATGGCTTTTTAGCTCCCCAAATCCCATTTTCACTCCAACCCTACACAAAGCTAAATTTCGCTTCCCATCTCCCTTTTTTCAATTTATTACAATAAACCATACTTATTTGACCTCTAATTTTCATATTTCACTTTAATTATTCTATAGTTAGTTATTACTTTTGAAAAAAAAAATTCGATGTAAATTTTTTTAAATTCCGAGACAAAAAATATTTAACAAAATTAGTCATTATTTTGTTACCGTTAACTTCGTGACCAATGAGAAAATACCAATTAAACATATAACAATTCATATCTTCTTTCAAACAATTAAACAAACAACATACACAATCAACCAATGACAAAATACCACAAAAAATAAAAGCAACACAATCAATCAATGAGAAAATTCCACAGAAACAAATAAAAAATAAATGAGGACCCGCCGCGGGTCCACCATTTTCTCTAGCCAAATTTGACTTTTCCACTCTTTTAGGAGCTAAATTTGGCTCCCAATTCACCAATACTCATTTTTAACTCCCAAAATAATGTGGGTTGGAGCACCAAAAAAGAGCTAAAAATGGATAAATTACTTTTTAGCTCTAGGGTTGGAGTCAGTCTATAGGGCGCTGCAGACACCCTATCTTGCTCCGTTGTACCCCCAATCCAAACCGTTTCCTTTCCTCTTCCGTTTCACTTACCTTTTGCAGCGGTCGACGGTGGCGCTCCGCTCTTCACTTCCTTGTCGCGGCGGTCTACGTTGACCGTCCATTCTTCAGGACCCAGTCGCGGCATAGTCTACGAACCTTGGAACAACCATCAATCCACAAACTTACAGAATCGACTAGGAGAAGAGATGAACCAAAACAAGCTAGCTGCTATGACGGAGAAACGGAAAGCAGAAGAGATTATGATGGTAGGCGACGACTACAGAAAGGCGAAGGAGCATTTACGCAGAGCAAGCCAGCTTTTCCCCGCCATCGAGGACTTGGAGCCCTTGAAAACTGCTTGCGATATCTTGTTGGCAGCCAATGACGAGATCCCCGGGTGCGGAGTGGACCATTACTGGGTTCTCGGAGTTGAGCCCTCTTGTAGTTTCTTCGAAACCCGATCTCGCTACCAGAAGCTCGTCAACCTGCTCCAACCCATTGGAAAAGCTCAGGCGTTCGCGGGGAGAGCTTTCAAGCTTTTGGAAAATGCGCTGTTTGTGCTCACAGATGTAAATCGCCGCACCGAATTCGACCACAGAAGAAAGAAAAGCTTGGCCGATTGTGAGATGTTTTCTGCTAGCATTGCCGTCTCTATGCCTACTTTGTCCGCAAAGGCTGCTTGGTCTTCAAAGGATCTCACAGCTGGTCAGATATGGGCTGTGTTTGGGGAAACGATAAGCCATTCTTCTATGCCTCGCCATTATGTTCGGTTTGATGAGATGATATCAGAATCACAAGCAGCTGTGACATACTTGGAGCCTGCGGGTGTTCGCGACCATGAGGTGAAAGCATTGAGGGAGAAACTCCCGGTTTCATGTGGGATATTCAGGATCAGCGAAAGGGCTTGCAGGATTGATCTGTGGCGGTTCTGGTTTCGTGTAAGGTACCAGCCGACCATGTCGTGCTACAAGATATGCCCACGGGAAGGGGAGGTATGGGCAATGCACAAAGATTGGAATGCGAGATGGGGAGCGTCGGACTATGAAAGGAGTCGATGTATGATCGTTCGAGTCGAGTCAAGTGCTGAAGAAGGGAGTAATGGGATCACTGTGAGTAGGCTGAGGGAGGTAGAAGGTTGCTTGACATTGTTCTGTAAGCTGAAGCAAGATGGATTCGATATGGTTCATGTAGTTCCAAATGCAAATATGCTTTGCTTTTCTCATCGCATTCCTGCATTCAGGGTTCCCGGGATCAAACGTTATGGGATACCAGAGGACTCCTGGCACCTGGAACCAAATGCCTTGCCTCTTACAATTGGTAACTGATCTTCAGTGTCGTAGTTGCTAATGTCTGATGGACGAAGGGATAGTGGTAGTGGAGTAGTTATGTAACCGTAGAAGTAACAGTTTGGATTATGATGAGAGTCTGACGTAGGTGTAGTCAGTTGTTTTAAGACGGTATTTAGTTCTTATGTTTACTTTCATTTAGTAAGGATGGGAGTTGATTGAATCTGTAATCAAATTGCAGCAGTTACACTGTAGTTCTGGCTAACTGTCCATTTATGTTACTGATAATTCGATAGTGAACGAACAGTGTCCAACTATCAACAGGGCAGTAAATAACCTTACAATACGTTGATTATAAACTTTGCATTGACTGTGAATCGACGAGTAAAGACGAAGAGCATTGTTATGAAAAAAAGTTAACGTTGACCTTGTTTACCAACTTATCCAAATCCCTTCATGCCAAAAATGCAGGTATCCCAAAAATTTGTAACAGAACCCCAAAGCGCAACATGTGGAGACGACAAACTCCTCAACTTCTACAATCCTTTGCAAGCTCATTCTTTCCCTACCTTCGGTTATAATAGCAAGTTGGCAAAGCTCATTTTCCCCACCACCTACTAATGAGACCTTTCTTTTTCATCCTGGTCTCTAGGGATGGGAAATCAATGTATTCATAAGCAAGATCTCGAATGATTGGATTTCTGGCTATGGATTGGAAAGGTGGAGGGAAGGCTTCGATGCGTGGATGCTGAGCTGGCTTCACATTTGGATCAGCAAGAGCAGACTCATAGGCGTCGAGATTCTGAACAAGGAACTTCTGCAAATAAAAAACAACCATTCCATCATCACTGCCAACAGTTGTCCAAATGCGACATAAACAAACAAATGCAACGGTATAATGGTGGACAATGAGAGGGCAGAGCAGAAGTTAGTTACCAAGTTGGTAGTCCCGCTCAATGATAAAGCAGAGACTCTAGCTGAGAGATTTTCTGGAACCTTCTCTTCCTCCATAATCCCTAGGGCATGCTCTATGCAACTACTGGATCTGCACTCACTGTATAAACTCTTCAGCTCCTTCATCATCACCTGTCACACAAAAAAACATCCAAAAGAAATTGAAGCCAAAAAGTTTAACGCACAATGCCAAGAAGGTAGAGTAAGAGACTATCAACTAAAAGCTGAGCAACATAGACAATGGCTAAAGCTTGGGTTTCCCTTCTCGGATTTTCCCAAAAGCAAAGTACCTCATCTTTCTCATTCAGATCTTGATAATTCTTCAAGGCCTTCTTTGCAAGGGATTGGGAATGGGAGAACAGAGCATACGCTTCTGCTCTTTTACCAGCTATGCTGTAAGACTTTGCCAAGAAGAAACATCTGCAGAGAAGTTGCCAAGCACATAAAGCAGAGATAAGTAAAAATGAACGGGATGAGAAACACAAGAACCACAACTAGCAGCTTTACCAAGACTTCCACAGAAAAGTGAAGAATATACAAAAGGCTACAACAGGGAGAACAGCATAAGACACCATTAAAGCAAAAAAAGAAGAGGAGACATCGTAACAAGGATATTCAACCAAACAACCTTCCGACATTTGTGTACGGAAGAACATTGCAGGAGAGGCGAATATAGATCTGAAAGAGACAGCCTTGCAGTATAGCAGCCATGACATGGAAAAATTAATGCATATGTGTACTTGCAAATATGATTCCCACAGACAACTGTAAATGAGTCGACAATAACACCCATTTCAGACCTTTCAGCACGGAAAGCTAAACGTCTGCGTTCACATTCTTCAGCAAATGCAACTTCTTCAGCTGTTCTCTCTTTCCGTGAGCTCACCAACTCGGAAAGAGCAAGTGTATTCTGTTAGCCAAGTTAAGGAAAAAGTCAGTCACCTCTTAACTGAAAGAGTCTGTTGCCTACCACAAGGGGAAAACCTAAACTGAAACAGAAATAAAGGGATATGTTTTCACCTCTAATAACAGATCATAAAGGCGAACAAGCTCTTCTGGCTTGGTAACTTTCTCATTTTTGTCATCACGACGCTTGGCAAGCTTACTCTTAGCAATAGTAACCAAAAGACGGTCACGCTCTGTTGTTCTCAGTCCTAATACAGCTGTGACAGCATCATGAAGGCCACTCAAGTCATCTTTCACACGCTCAGCATTTCCTGCACTAGTCTGCAAATTCAGTAGGTTAGGAATGAGTATGAAGAAAGAATAGAAATGATAATGAATCAGACAGTGTAACAAATCACGCTTCTGGAAATACCAGCAAAATGGTGTCAATGATAAAATAAATCATGAATTGTTTCAGAATGTGGCAAACATCTAAAATCTCATACCAAGTCACTCCGGATATAGCCCCTAGCCTCATGGTATGCAGTAAAAATTTTGTCGAAGACTGCTAGCTTTTTTTCAGCTGGAAGTGCATTTGCATCCTGACCATGCAAATCTTTCTCCAGCTCTTGAGCTGAAATATCATAAAAAACAGGCGAAAAGGAAATTCTTGAGGCCAGGACCGCACTGCAATATACTAAATAATCGAAGAGTGCTGCCATATCACACCATAAAGGACACATGACCCAGTAAGTTCGACCCACTCATTATAGATATAAACAATGAATCCACGTTTCATGAAGAAAATTCTAGGAGCTGAATCCAACAGGGCATCAATTCTAATCAACAGCTCAGCATGAATACTAGTGAACTTTATTCAACCGGCACATCTACATCAATAACCATTAGCTCCAGACAGAAGCAAAGTGCTATAGCTTACCCAAACTAAGGCGATGCACTGGCCTATTTCAGTCAACAAAATCAGAGACATAGTGAAAGACAGAATCGATAGGAATAGAGCCTTACGCCAATTGACATTGGAGTTATGGTCAACATTAGAGGAGAATCAAGGCATAGGATCATAATGAATCATTCTAACAAACAGTGTGATTCAATAAATCAGTAATAGTCGAAGCCATTGACAACCTTTTAAAATGGCAACTCGAGTTTTTGCATTAGGTATAGGATATTTGTGCCCAAGCCATTGAAATTCAGTCAAGGATGCTGCCTGTTGAGACCTTGCCTCAGCCATAGCAGCCTGCAAGCGAGGAGAGTATCAATAAAAGAAGTATGCAATGACTGGAAAACATTAAGAATCATAAATACCCAGTTCCTATTACTGAGAAGGCAAACACATTTCAAGCCCAATTCAGAACCGAGCATAGAATATTTCTGCCTCGTCAAAAATAGGAGAAATAAACTAAAATGTATTGGCTCATGACATATATGCTGGAATAGGAGTCCAGTAAAAAATATGCATTATGCTTAATCATATATAGCAGATCGCTCAATCATTTGACAGATTACAGACATATAGACGAATTGTTTTATGACTATTAAAGTAAGCTACTTGTTTGGGAAATTGCATTTAGAAAGAAATAAATGTACATTTTCACTCACAAAACGGCTGTTCCTATCCTCCATGTGCATTATATATATGTTTTTTATTTGCATCGATTTCAGAATGAAGCATACAGTGAGGTTCACGTGCTTTCCAACTTTGCTGATTGTAAATAATCATCAATATTATTCTTTTGAAGACAGAAAAGCAGAACTTAACCAGTCTTTATTTTGATCACAGATAACAAGCAGCACATCAAGCATGATTAAGCAGTTCATTACTAATATTCCGAATTCCCACCTCTAGCTTCGCCTTGAAGAGGTCCATGGCAGGGCCTTCCACCTCGCCAATTTGCAAGAGATCGGAGGTTTTCAGATTCGACTCCCCAATTTTATGGCGGCAGTACCGGATGCTAGGTTCCAGCTCCTCCAAACGCTCACGGCACAGGACTTGATTCTCCAAATCTCCGTATTTCCCCAGCTCTTCATAAACAGCTCTACAACAAATTAACAGACAGAAATTACGCCTTGTACTTGAGCACAACCACCAGGAAGCGCAAGTCAACTTAACACAAATATATGTGAACCTGGCACTTAAGAAATTCTTCAGTGCAGTGTCCCAATTCCGGTCTTGTTCAAACAGTAAAGTCCCATTCATATAGGATGCATAGGCCTGCAAAGTAAGAGATGGGGATGAAAGAGAAATATTAATAGAGCTCAGACAGTCACAGATTACAAGAACCAAGAATGCTGGTCCCAGGTAACATGACAGATTGTTAAAATTGAACTCCAGCTATGAGTACTTTGAAATGAGAGGAGAAAGAATTGTATCTTATAAGGGCACACTGTGTCCATGACCAAACTTGCAAACTCAGAAAATTGCTCAACTCATATTAACAGAAGACACAAACCTCGGCCTCTAAAGATGTCCTGGAATCTCCCTTGACAGCACATAGTCGGGAAAACTGATTAGCCCATTTCACTGCCTTTCTCAGCCTGCCAATCAAATAGATTCTCTGTCGTGCATTGGGGCCATCTGGGAGCTGTCGTTTCTCCATTGCATGACTCCATGCTCTTTCGGCACAATAAAGTACCACATGCAGAAACCTGTTTTCTTCCAGAAAAAGAGGCCTATAAACTTGAAGGACTGAATAAACTCAGATTTCATTTCAATGTTTTCAAGAAATCCATGCCATTTTCATAAAACACAAACAAAAAGGAGCTCCGCTACTATGATCATAAGCATCGGTGCTTCCATTTACAAAAAGAAAAAACCCTTCATGGTACAAACTAAATTTGTAACTTTAATGTTATGGAACAAATTCAATTCCTACCTATAACTTATCGTTCAAACTTGAGACCATGACGAAGTAAGTAGCTCAACCATACATACCTCACTTCAGTAACAGTTGCTTCGGTGATGGCTCTACGAGTGTATTTACCACGTCCATGAGTGAATTTCAGAGATTTGTACAACCTCCTCAATCGAGCAGAGCAATACCTTCTGCACTATAATGGGTCGGTTGATTCAGTAGAAGTATATATATAAGAAGTGAACAAGGCATTAGAGAAGCAATGCACGAACCGATATCGAGTGTAATCTCCATGTCGCAGTCCATGCTGCATTTGTGCTGATTTGAGGAGCTGCAGAACTGACAATTGGAAAAATCTCAACCTTCAGTTCAATGGATGTCTGAAACCCCCTTGCTGAGTTCAGAGAACAGTTTCTTTGCAATATCTGAACAACATAATTACCCTTAATCGAATATCTAGGATTAATCTGATCGGAATCATTGGTTTTCGAGCCGTCGACAACCATCGCCGTCGCTTCGTTGTCCTTTCCCATCCC